AATTTCATGATCATACTTCTCGTTTTGGGTCCCATCAGGTAATCCCTGCAATGCAAATGGCCATGACTCAGCCATTTTCTCATGCTGCTTTAAGACCTAGTGTTATTCAACCACAACCATTCATGCAACCTCAGCAAAACCTTTTGGACCAATATAATGATGAAAATGCTTCAGGGCTAAGGATTCACCAGGTTCCTGCTGAGCAAAGTTACAAAACATTTCAGGTTCAAGTCCCTTTTGGAGGTAATTATGGCTGGGTCCAGGTTCCTTCTGCAGAGCATGTGATCTTTTCTGATGCATTTGTACCTCAACAACCAATGATGATCCCTGAGAAACTCCAACGAGTGGAGGACTGTTATATGTGTCAGAAAAAGCTGCCTCATGCACATTCAGATCCTGTGGTTCAGGATCAGCGAAATAGCTGTGCTGGTCCAATTTCTGATTCAATCCCAAGTTTCTATAGTCTCCCTACGGAGGACAATTCTAGGGCTCAAGCAACAAATATGATTTTGGTGTCTGCACCAATGAAGGATGACAATGTTGAACAAGCAGTTGTGACAAGACCCAAGGTCCATAGCAAATTGGATACTCCAGCTGGAGCAGCTTGTACAGACACAACTGGTCTTTCTCTGGAGCTTGAAAGTGAGACGGCTTTTATACAAAGGCTGGACAGGTCTGATCATCCCAGGAATGCAGTTATCCCGGAAGCAGTTGTAAGAACAGGAGAAAAACCGTTGCCAAGTGATGGGCTGATGGGAACAGCACCGCATTCTTATCGAGATGATATCACCCGCCAGCATATGGTGCCACTTCAAAGCAGGTCTAAAGAGGATGCTCTTGTGAATAAACCTGTTGCTAATGATATACCTTTAGTTGGTGGCACATCTGTTGAAAATTCTGACTGTGTGGTTCAAGAATGTCCAACAGAATATACAAATGAACTTCCTAGCACTACTTCAAAAGCAGATGCCATGGAGAATTGGATAGCACAAGATCTTCTCAAACCTATTGATGGAAGAATAGACAACCTGAAAATAGGTAATCCTGAAAATTTTCTAAATAATGATAAATTTGATTACAGCACTCAACATGTTGCAGAGAAGAAAGGGGTCCCTCTAGATAACAAAATTGGGAAGTCAAAGTTGATCACTGATGCTGATCAAATTAATATGATAGATATTCTTCCTAGTTCTACTGTGGAAATTTCATATGGGAATAATTCCAGGCCAGTGGAATATAATGAGGTTATACAAACCCCTGTTTGGGGCATACCTGGATCAAATCCTCAGCCAAAGAGTGGAAACCATCACAGGGAGGATGCAGTTTTATCTTCAGTTCCTCCATCTGCTAGATTTGGAGAGGTGAAGGATTCTTCAAACTCACTTTTTAGCAATCAAGATCTATGGAATATACACAGTTCATACTTTCCACCTCCGAGACCTAACAAAGTTGCATTGAAGAAAGAAACCTATTCAAATATGGATCAACTTGGTGAGAATCTTGGCATCAATGGGGAACAAAATTTAGAAGCTCAATTAGACAATGGCCTCTATCAAACACTCAAACAGAATTTAACTTTGGAAGAAGCTCGATCTGCCGCCAAGGGTATGTAAATTTGTTCACACCTTAAATGAGTTATATATTTATAGTATCTAATTTTAAGCTTTTGACACATAGTCGTTGTGTTTTGGTTTCTTGATTGAAGTCTCATCAGAAGACCGACAACTTCAAGCCGTTGCTGAAGGTTTAGCTGCTTCCGTTCTGCACTCAAGCACTTCTTCAAATCTTGATTTGAATGCCAAAGATGTGCCCCATCATGAGGACATTGGCGATGGAGATGTTCAAAATAATCTAATAGATATACAGCATAAAGATAAAATTCAGGTGACATTGCTTGCGCACTCCTTGGTATTGTAGGAATAGTTTCTATAATAATATATTTTGTTTACCCCCTCCATCCTACTTTCCAATGGGTGCAGACATGGCAAAAAAAGTGTACTGCCTGTACATGTCCCATCATGATATTGATTGTGATCAGATGCCTGCATGGACCCAATTCCACTTTGATAATAAAACAATAGTATTAGTTAAATTGTAAAGTTAAGCTTACATCTTTCTTTGTAGTAACAATATGTTCTGGAATTTCTTGTTAAGTTTTTTACTTTAGTTTTATGGGGATACACAATACGCGACAAGATTCGGTATCAATGTTTTCATGTCTGACTGTCAGGGAAGGATGTGGATTCATGGGTGGGTTTGGGAAGGTGGATCGTGAGGAGGGAAAAATCCACCCTATTCCATTGCTGCCCTTATTTGGATGTGCTTTTACTCACTTTTCTTATTATTGGTGTTGATAGTTTTTGTTATCATTATCATCATCATTATAATAATGATAATGATAATAATAAATTTAAATATTTATTTTCCTCTCAGGATCTCAAAAGCAAGCTCCCAGAGAAATTAAATTTTGGCTTTCCAGCATCAGATGTTGGAGCTTTGCAGGTTGAATGTCTTCTTTTGCCTGTGTTCTCTCTTCTATGATTTTATTTTTCCAACTAAGCAGAGCTAAAACCTTAACTTGCGATTTGACTAGATTATAAAAAATTGTGACCTTGAAGAGCTGATAGAGTTGGGTTCTGGGACCTTTGGTACTGTATATCATGGAAAATGGAGGGGCACTGATGTGGCAATAAAGCGGATTAATGATAGGTGTTTTGCAGGAAAGCATTCGGAGCAAGAGCGCCTGGTCTGTTTCTCACCATTAATTGTTCTGATTTCTATTTCCCACCTTGTTTTTGCCATCCAACGAACTGACTGACATTGTTCATGATTTATACATCTACAGAGAGCAGACTTTTGGAATGAGGCAATCAAGCTTGCTGACTTGCATCATCCAAATGTGGTAGCATTCTATGGTGTTGTGCTTGATGGCCCCGGAGGTTCTGTGGCAACAGTGACGGAGTATATGGTTAATGGTTCTCTAAGAAATGCATTGCAGAAGAATGGGAGGTACTTGTAATGTATTTGTATATGTGCATGTCCCAAGGTGCATGCTCACAAAACCATCTGTTGACTGATTTGCATTACTCTGGTTTAATGCATAACTGTGTTCTTAACAGTAAATTGATAGGCCATAGTAAATGTTTATTGAAGGAGAGGTAAAGAGATGGACTGGGGAATGGGCCACGGAGACAGGCCCAAATCAGGTTAAGCGTGTTTAGTAACAGAACTTCCTGGTTTTGCGTGACAAGGAGAGAGTGATGGATTGAAGTCTGGGAATCATGAGTATTTGGAAAAGGTTAAACAAATGAAAGGGGATGGGGGTGGGGGTGGGGGGTTTGTGTCTTGGTATTGGGAGGTTTGGGTTTGAGCAGAGGACGTACTCAGTTGGAGTATCAATGTCTTTTCCTTTACTTTCGTATCCATCTTGTATGGAGTACTGCTCCTGTTCGTCTTTATTTTTCAGTATTTCTTACTGTTTTCATTGGTGATCGGTGTTCTGTGAGGTTGTAGTGAGCTATCTTAAAACAACGTTCAGTTTTTTTCTACTTTGTCCCTCTGGTTGCTATAATAATCAATTGTTTGATTTATGTGATAATATCAGGAATCTTGACAAGCGCAAGCGGCTGTTGATTGCGATGGATGTGGCCTTTGGCATGGAGTACTTGCATGGAAAAAATATAGTACACTTTGACTTGAAAAGTGACAACTTGCTCGTGAATCTCCGAGATCCACATCGTCCAATATGCAAGGTTGAAATATTTTATTCTTATGTGGTCATATTTGAAATCTTGTTCTGTATTTATTCAAACTAGAGATGCATTACACTAAACTGTAAATAAGGAAGTGAATAATTTGCGGATCAATTTCCTTGGATTCAGGTTTGTTAATGATTTATAATTAGCTCCACAACTGCAACGTTTTTTTCTATCAGAATTTTTCTTACCGGAGTAATGTTGTGTGCTTCTTGGTGCACGCTGCACTACGCAGCATAGAGCACTTGAATACATGGCCCTGTTTGTTAAGATTGCATAAAATAGTGATTTATTTTTTAGAGATTTATGTGAGGGAAAAATAGTGTTTTTTTTACGAAGAGTTTAATGGTATGCAATGAGGGTGTAAGTATATTTTACATTATTAGTGTATTTTTTTTTCTCTTATAGAAGACACTTTATTTTGAAAGGTGGTTATAATTTGAAAAATCTATTCAAAGTAATTACTCAAAATAAAGACAAATTTGTTTCCTATAGATTATTTTTTCTTCTTTGAAAGCTTAAACAAACCCATAAAAATTATTGAAGTGATTGTTTAGAAGTAAAATGTCGATGCAAATGGGCTCATACATTTTGTATCCCAGTTATCGACCCTTGTGACTTTCATTTCAGGTTGGTGACTTGGGTCTGTCCAAAGTAAAATGCCAGACTTTAATATCCGGCGGAGTTAGAGGAACTCTACCTTGGATGGCCCCAGAACTGCTGAATGGGAGCAGTAGTCTTGTATCGGAGAAGGTTTATTTTGTGCTTTAACTTGTTAGAAACATTGATTTATTTTTATGCTTCCTTCGTATTTGTCATGCTATAAACAGTTTTGCTTCTCATATTTATCGTTCTAGGTTGATGTGTTTTCGTTTGGTATTGTTATGTGGGAACTGCTCACGGGAGAAGAGCCGTATGCTGATTTGCACTATGGGGCCATTATAGGTAGTTTAGTCCAAATGTTGAATCCATACGTAGCCTTTTATTCACTAGATTTTGGTTATATTGAGATTTTGGTTTTCCAAACATAATTCAGGTGGTATAGTAAACAACACTTTAAGACCTCCAGTTCCAGAATCTTGCGATCCTGAATGGAGACTGCTAATGGAGATGTGCTGGTCATCAGAACCATCAGAAAGACCTTCCTTCACTGAGATTGCCAATGGATTACGTTCCATGGCAACCAAGATTTCTCCTAAAGGACAAAATCAACAGCAGCAACCTGCCTCATCGCTGAGTCAAGCGCAGAAATAATATCCAACAACTGCAGTGTGCTTAATTCCTGTTTTGGATCTGATTTGTGTTTTTCGTCGATTCCGTGGATCAATCCTTTGTTGAATATATACAATAGAAACAGTTTGCAATTGTCAGACGGTAAGGTAAGGTTAATAGTTGTCGGTCCTTTTAGCACTGCTACATATTCTTGTATTACACCCAAAACAAAGTGAATATCATGGGTCGTACTGGTTAAAACAGAAAAAGAAAGAAGGATATTGATATTTTTTTTTATAATTTTTTTATAGTGGTTGTAAAGATGGACATTGTAAAGAATAAAAAAGCACTTAACAGTAATGTTGTTACGGTTACTGTTTTGAAGTGATTATTTTGATTTTGATAGAAAGGAAGAATTTTAAGTGATTACTGATCCTTAATAGTGGTTTGTTATTGTATATGTTGACCTAGGACCTTTTCTTTTCTTCAACTATTTGTGAAGTGGATGCCTCGACAACAAAGTTTCTTTGCTACCACTACTCTATGAATAGACGTGGGAGCCACCAACAGCTGGGCATGACACAGCATGTACCGTTGGGTTGGCTATATCCTTTCCGTTAGGTGTGGTGTTGTGGGGCACATGAAATTGAAGTCATATATTATAATATCATTTTCACTCTTCATTTGCTTTTCCTTTTCTAGTATTTAATTCTATTATTGTGTCTTGGGTGACGGACATGCCAATTGCCAAGCATAGGCCGAAACCGTCCCTGGTGATTCCAAACTTCATAATGGTTTCCGGTTCACACAATTGTGTTTCCTTTTTTTATTAATATTTTTTAGTTGGAGATGTTCAAAACAGCTGTACTGTATCTTCAATTTTCTTTGCCATATCCTCCTTTGCACCTCTCTCTTTCTCTCGTCTGATTCTTTATAATCATCATCTCTGTGTTGAAGCTATCTACATAATTAAACTCCCGTCAGCTCCAACCCTCTCAAACTGTTCATTTCTCTGAAAATATGGCTGGTTCAGAGGGGAGGCCATTGGTTGAGGCAGTGGAACAGAAGGAAGATTTCTACGAGGAGCAAGAGTCCAGTGGATGTGCGTATGGATGCTTTCGGGGTTTTGGGTTGAGTTGGTGCAGGGGAGGCCGTGAAGAAGAGAAAAATGGTGATTCGTGGGTGAGTTGCAAGTTGAGGAATATTAAGGAGTTTACAGAAGTGATTGCAGGTCCCAAGTGGAAAACATTCATTAGAAAGATAAGCGGGTATGGAAAGAAGCAGCAGAAGAACAGATTTCAGTATGACGAACACAGCTATGCTCTCAACTTCAATAGTGGGGCTCAGAGTGAAGATGATGACATGCCTCCCTCTTTCTCAGCTAGATTTACTGCTCCTTTCCCTTCTGCTCGTCGCCAAACCGAACAATGATTTCTTTCTCAACATTTTATTGCGTAACTTGTTAGTGTTTTAAATCGCTACATTCATCAATCATTCATTCTGTAAAGATCATTCTTTTTGTTCAAACTGTTTTGCATTTCGTCTTTCCCTTCTGCTCTTGCTCAATTTTCCTCATTCAATTACATGCCGAATGTTTCCAAAAACAACAATCTTTCCAGAACGAAAGGCTTGTGAATAGATGTAGAGGTAACCTGTTCCAATCAAAGGCGCTAAAAACAAATCACGCAGCCCTATGGAAATTACGCCTCTCAAGAAATCTTTTCCGAAATGGCACTGCTTAAAAGAATAACACAGATCAGCATAATAATTAGCATGTCTTTTTTCTTTTAAAAGAACTGATTAGAGAGAAACATTATTTAAAATTTTTAAAATAATACAATTTACTATAAACTAATATTAATTTTTTAATATTTTTTTATTCAATAAAAATTATTACTAATGAAAACAGAGGCATATGCACGTGTATATATCTTTCTTTTGATAGCAAAAAATTAATTACTATAACAATTAATTAAACTATGTTACTAAAACGTATATTGAAGTTGTATAAATTATGTACATAAAATTATTTGTTATTAATTTTGATAGTGTTAAATTGTATAATAGGAGTTTTGAAATATTTTATCAAAAGAAAAAATTATAACAAAATATGCATATAAAAATAGTTATGAAACATTTAATTTTTTATTAATTATTATTTATTAAAATATATAAAATAATTTTCTAGTCAACGTATATATTTTATATTCTTATTTTACCTTAAATCATTTTAAAATTAAAAAATAAACTATACAGATATTAAAGCAGTTTATTTAGATATAAAGACTAAAGAGTTAGTTAGCCGATACTAAAAGTAAAAGAAATAAAAATATATAAAAAATAATTACAAAATTCAATCTCTATTAATACTGGTTATCGATTAATAATAATTTTATATAAAAATCAAATAAAAAAAACAGCTACAATTTAAATAATTAAATATATTAAGAAATTAATTTTCAAATAAATAAAATTGAAATAAAGAAATTATGAAATTATTTACACATATATAGAATATATATGTATATATATAAATAAGTATGTACTATTATGAAAATTATACTTAGATTTAAAAATTTAGGTAAGTAATGTAACATCTCATTTAATGGTATAAATTACTAAACAAAACATTATAAATTCTGATCATGCATAGGAGATAAAAAGAAACATACAAAATATAAATACAGTTATCCAAAATAGTAACAACACTAATATTTTATATATACAAGATTACATAAATTAAAGAAGTCTTTTTAAAGACAAGAGCAAATTATATCAAAGACTAGGTGAAAAAAAAACATGATGATCACTTAGTAGCAATTTCGACCTCCTCTAAAAACATGTTAGTATCTAACTCACTTTCTGCTCACATAAATAGGTGATCATTGCTAAAAGATAAACAACATAAAAGAGAAAAGAAAGGAAATGTAAGCTAATGTTTTAAAGGAATTTCATAAAACAATATAAATTATGCCATATTAATTCAAAATGTATAACATACTATAACCATGAAAGCATACGTACAATTGACTCTAGACTCAATTATCCAAATACATGCTTTGACATACGTATTCAACGCAGATGAGCACTCGTAGCAGTATTTATACTCTGCAGAATCCTAAACAAAATGGTTATCATTCTACTACTCACGAGGTTAATCTTTTTATTTCTAAACCACAAGTCTAAGGAAAGATCTTCTGCCATTCTCTTCCCCATACTGTTCATCTCTATATTAGTTGAGTAACTGTTAGAATATAAAGATACTCACTTTCAAAATTCCTATATGTCAAAGCATACACTAAATAATCATTAAGACAAAAATTTTCCTTGAAATTCTCTCAATAATCAAACCACCACCAATCTATCCAAATTGCCAAACAAATGAACAGGGAGTCAAAATCTTAGAAAGAGGGTAGAAAGCTCTAAGAACATAAATCTAGAGAGATGATAAGGTTTTAGATAATGAAACACGTTTATATAAATTTTATTTATACTTACATTTTTTTAACAATAAAATAACTGAATCTCATTATTTAAAATACTTTATTACCTCTTAAGACTTTATTTTTTAGGCTTTTACAAATAATCCAAATTCATCTTCGTATTTCCATCTAGTTTAAACATGTCTCATCCCTCTAAATAAGAACTGTGGAAGCACATAGTTCAAAGTCTACCATAATGATATGATTTTGTTACAATTTATTTGCTATATCATTTTTATCTTTCTATAAAAATTGTTTAGTTGATATTTAAAACAATAAAAAATGGGTATGAACATGAGTAGTATATAAGTATACTTATTATTCTATAGACATGAGAATGAAACAAAAAGTGTATCTCTCTTAGATTTGGAGATGAGATGAATTCTTATCTCACAAGGATAAGGATAGGATAATGAAACCCATATTTGTTTCGTCTTGTTGTCACTCCTACATATGTCTAAGAGAATAAAATAATGTACGTATATAAAATTAAATTATTAATAATTATTCAATGATTAATATTTTTCTCATCAATAATTTTATTTGTTAACTTCAATTACAAAAATATTAAAAAAATCTACAAACATTGATTAGTGAATTCCACGTTGGATCCTGTGATGTTTGTATCCATTTCATCAACATGTAACTAATTAAATCACTTTACTCACTACTTGTGAATATCCATTAAAGATATTCATGTAGTGTTATTATAGATTTTAGTTTCAAATATTCAAGTGTAAGGAGTTTTTTGTCATTCATACTTGTTATACGCTTTCTTTGATAACGAACTTATATCAATATTTTTTTATGTGACAATGGTTAGGAGGGGCAACAAAGAATATTCATGTTCTTAATATCAAGAGGAAATTAAGAAGGGGTGACTAGTAGTGGTTGTTATACTCGTTTCTAATCAAACTTTTTGTTAGTGAAACCTTTTAAGTGTGAATTTAGGAAAAATTGTTAGTGATTTCCTTCTTCGTTGTTACCACCACCACCATTATCATTGTTGTTGTTGTCACTTCATTTTTTCCTCCTTTCCTCTTCCTCTTTCTTGTCATTTTTCTTCTCTTCTTTTTCTTCTCATCCATCTCGATTTAATTTATAACAAATATTTCATCAAATTGAACAGAAAAACTGACACCCATTTTACTATGGATTTATCGACATAATTATCAAAATATTTTCAAAAATAAAATTACTAATGGATTTACCAACAAATTTTTAAAATTTAGTTATTGAAAAACTTTCCAAATATTTAATTATTAACATATTTATCGAATAATTTTTAAAATTATTCACTTTGATGGATTAGTGACGAAGATTAGGTAAAATAGATAAAGCGGAAATTTTGTACTCTTTTTTATGGATACATTTTACTGATTGATCCATTACCAATGAGTATTTTGTTATTAATTAAAATCCTAAAATTAATCAAAAAGTTCTATTTACTATTGTATTTTTTGCTGTCAAAAAAATCTATTGGTAAATGTTATTTTAGGTAATATGGTACTTTTTTTAGTGAATGCCCCACCTCCAATTCAAAGAATAAGCAAAAATAACATTAAAAGTACTATATCTTTTACTTTCATTGTTTCCAAATATTATACTACGTCTCTCAAATTATTTTATAGAGTCAAATATCATTGAATTACAATAAAATATTTAATTCAGTTATGAACTTGATCTAGTTATTAATTTAACAGCTAAATTTGATGACTTGAGAGGAGATTTATTAAGGAGAAACTATTTATTCAGTCCGGTCCTCCCGACTCATAAACCGAGCGGTTGTTCCAATGCCGCCCACTCAGGTCATCATCATGATCGAGCGTTCAAGCTAACACTGTCCGAGCATACATAGCTCGAGCGGTCCTCTAAGGTCGTCCATCCAGGTCGTCCATCAAGACCGAGCGTCTAAGCTAACGCTGTCCGACCACACATAGACCGAGCGGTCCTCCAAGGTCGCCCATCCAAGTCGACCATCAAGACCGAGCGTCCAATGTGACCGATCAGCAGAACCGAGTGGCCACCCACCCAGGTTGACATCCCTGGCCGACCACTCCTTCTGACCGGCCGTCCCAACCGACCCTCACTAGGTCGACTACACGGTTAAACACTAATGACTCATTAAAGCCCTTAATGAAGATTAAGGTATGATTGGGCCGTTATCAGGCCCACCAAAGGTAAAAGCTCATTACAATTAGTATAAATAAAGGTTCCAGGTATGATTTTGGGACGGATTGCTTACGATGCAATATATACATGCATTACAGACCACTCGGTCATGTTACTGACTTAAGCGTCAGAGTGCCTTTGACAGGTACCCGACCGCCCGGCTTGGAGAACAAGGGGAGAACGAATACTACAACCAGGATTTGAAGACGAGAGAGCCCGTTCGACCCTTCCCCGCGCGTCCAGCCCTCAGCAAAGAGGTAACCGTCCAGTTTTCGCCAGCTTCTAGCGCCCCCTAGAGATGGAGTCGCTCGTTCTGCTTCAGTTCGTGGGATTCAATAACGTCCGCCCGGTCTTCGGTGTCATCCAGATCTATATATATATATATATATATATATA